TCTCTTGAAGAATAACGCCGAGAAACCGTAAGCTCCCGTGGCTTTCAGCGACCCAATTTGTTTCAAAGCTCCAAAAACCTTCTATCTAGTAATTCGGCGGAGCAACACTTCATTATCAGCATCACTAATATTCCTTTCCACTGCGTCAAGAACCACCCTAAACATAGTCTTTGTTCTTGGTTGAATTACACAACATATAACATGAGCAGGATTTATTGTGATTGAAAGGTTTGGGCTTTAGTTAAGATAAGCTTGAAGAAGATAGAGTGTATCTGGTGGGCCTAGTCATTTGTAGAGGTGTCAAAACAGAACCCAGCCCGACTAACCCGCCTAATAAACCCAACCCGCATCCCGAATTGACTAAAAGTCAACTACCCATAACCCGCCTAACCCGCAACCCGATTGACCCGCAACCCGACTGACCCGCAACCCAATTAACCGGCAACCGGATTAACCCAAACCCAATTGACTCGAACCCAACTTACCCGTGACCCGGCCGACTAACCCAAACTCCACCCAATCCACTTCAATAATATTATATTATATATAATACATAGTTTTTAAAAATGAAGTTTTTCATTCTAAAGTTAGATAAAATTATTTTTTCAATTCGTATAGGGAACTTAAAAAAATGAAACTCACTTGATAGTTGATATTATGTATTTTAATAAAATTACAAAAATTGAAACATAAAGGTAGCTTAACACTAAGCTCTTTAACAAAATTAAAAAAATAAATACAAAATATAAAATCAGCACAATGTCAATATTGATATTGAAGATAATAATTGATATCATGGACAATATTAATATAATATATATAAATTAAAATTTTGGTTAATTTAACTATTCAACAAAGTTATCAATTAAATATAAATAGAGTAAAGTAATTTATTTGGTGCTTTGTATTTTTTAGAAAAGAAACAAGAAGGGAATTTGGTAGTTTTGATTTGTGTGAAGAGGAAAAATTGAGAGAGTTTGGTTTTTTTCATTATGAAAAGAGAAATAAGGAGGGAAATTTTTTGTTTTCAATTTTTTGAAGAAGGAAGGAAAATGGAAATTTAGTTCTTTCAATTTCATGGAAGAAAAAAATGAGTGAAAATTGATTGTTTCTAATTTATGAAAGGAGAAAGAAGGAGAGAAATTTTAGTGTTTTCAACTTTTGGTTTTTCAAAATTTTAGCCTTTGAAATATGAATATTTATGTTTTATATGGAGGGCATGACTAATTAACTATATTATACTCTTATATGGAATGCCTATTTGACTATATTAGATTTGAAAACCTATAATAAGTTATCTTATCTTCAATATATTATCACTCAAATTATCTCAAATGCATGTTATTTTACATTATAAATCATATACTTAATTACTTATAGATCATATGCTTAATCAAGTTTTTGGTTCTAAACTTAGACAAAACCATGTTTAGAGTAAAAGAAAGATTCCTCTATGTTTTGGAAATCAAAGTTTGAATTTCACTTATAATTAAATATAGTAGCAAAATCATAAGTCATAATAATATATGGCTAGGGTATAAGTTATATGGTATATGGTTTAGGGTATTCTAAAGACCCCTTTTTAATTTATATTTTGAAAATCAAAGTCCGAATTTCACTTTAAATGAATTATAGTAGCAAGTCATAACTTGTAAGGCTATATGGTTAGAGTATAAGATATATGATTTAGCATATATATTTAGGGTATATCAAATATCCCTTTTTAATTTATGTTTTGAAAATCAAGTCTGAATTTCACTTTAAATTAACTATAGTTACAAAATTGTAACTCATAATGATATATCGTTATGGTATTAGGTTATATGGTTTAGGGTATATAGTTAGGGTACACCAAATATCATTTTTTTAATCTATATTCTGAAAATCAAAATATGACTTTCACTTTAAATAGTAGCAAAATCATGACTCATAAGAATATATGGTTAAGATATAAGGTATATAGTATATGGTATATGTTTAGTGTATATGTTCAGGGTATAGCAAAGATCCCTTTTTCATCTATGTTTTGAAAATCAAAGTCTGAATTTCACTTTCAATGAACTATAGTAGCAAATCATAACTCGTAATGCTATATGGTTAGGATATAAGGTATATGGTTTAGGGTATATCAAATATTCCTTTTTAATCTATGTTTCGAAAATCAAAGTTTGAATTTTACTTTAAATTAACTATAGCAGCAAAATCGTAACTCATAATGATATATGGTTAGGGTATATGGTTTAGGGTATCGGGTATATGGTTAGGGTATACCAAATATCACTTTTTAATCTATGTTCTGAAAATCAAAATATGATTTTCATTTTAAATTTACTATAGTAGCAATTTAGATTTCTTTCCAACAAGTTCACTAACATTAAGATAAATAAAAACATAAGTTTTGCAAAACCCAAATGTATAATTAAAGTTCACTAATTTAGATTTCCTCCCCTCAACTTTAGATTTCCTCCCCTCAATTTCACTACACCACTTTCCCGCACAAGTTAGATTTCTCCCCAATTTAGATTTCCCTCCAAAAAATTTCTCATTTCCTCCTCCCTACAATTTACATTTCGCTGCAAGAATTTCCTCATTCCCTCCCCACTCCAATTTAGATTTCCCTACAAAAATTCTCATTTCCTCCCCTCAACATTAGATTTTCTCCACCCTACAATTTTACTTATATATTTTTATGATACACTATATAATTTGTTGTTGGATTACGACTATTGGATGAAAAAATAAAAATGTTTATATCACCATAACTATTAACTAGTGTGCTTTACCGATTTACGATTAATTACATGACAAGTTTGCAAGTCATACAACATGGTTCAATTTTTTCAACTTCAATAAATACATATAACATATTACATATACGATGTGGAAAGAAATAGTCTAAAAATTATGATTTTTTTTTTAAAAAAAATAGGTTAATAAAATGTGCAAATTGCTTATATGAGTAGGAAGTAAGTACTCAATGCGCTGATCCAAAAACTCACAACCCGAAACACCCACAACCCGCCCAACCCGCAACCCAATTGACTCGTAACCCAATTGACATGTAACCCGACTAACCCGGATCCGACTAACCCGAACCCGACGAACCTGCAACCCGATTAACTCGAAATCCTACTAACCCGTAACCCGATTGAACCCAAACCGAACCCGCCCGAATGACAGCTCTAGTCATTGGTTCGGCCTAAATGAGTCTCACTTTCAAATACATTTTGAAGCTAATGTTCTCCTTAGTCTCTCTATCTCTTGCATGGTTGTCACGCCGGCCGGCGTGCCACCGGTTGAACCTGGTTCAACCGATACCAGTCATAAAACCGGCGTGACACTACCGGTATGACCGGCATGATGCGATATACGAATTTCTAAGTAAAATGACCTTATTTTAGCGAGTTTAATTGATAAAAATAATTTTATTATTTATTTTATGAGTATAAAAGTTAAATATTGATGTTATTTGTTGGATTCAAGTATAAATGTTTAAGTATTGACGTTAAATGTCATGTTTAAATATGAGTATTTATAATTTTATTTGTAATATTGACCGGCATGAACCGGCACAAACCGGTATGTGCCACCGGTCGAACCATTTCACTTGCTAAACCGGCACACTGGCATAAACCGGTTTGACAACCTTGATCTCTTGCTTCGTTTCCATTCCTCATAGACACAAAATATTACTGTGCAGACTAATCTCTGTTCTAGACTATTCTCAGTAAGACCAGATAAAAAGTGTCGACATTAAGATACGATTACATGATTTATGCGAGAATATTAAATTTTTATCATCCTTTATATTCTTGTACCAAATATCATTTTCTAACATAAAGAACACAAAACGGTAAAATCCAAAGACATATTTATATTCGCTAGTAATGTAATTTCTTGAGGCGTAATTTAGATTGACTTAAAACTTTAAGACAGTACAAGAGATTGGGCTCAACTCAGAATTGGCTGCTGAGCTTCCGAGAGAGGTAAATGCACACAAAATTGAGAAGAAAACTTGATACATCTAAGGGCATTTTGTCTAGTGGTAAATGACACAAAAATGTAACCCTATTGTGCAATAGCATGTTCCTTTTCAGTTTTCACTTGCTTTGGCAGTTTTCCACCAGCAACTGCAGCTCATCCGGTTGCCTTTTTTTTTTACCTCTGGCTCTGGTCACCTCGCCTGTGCTACAAGAGAAAGGGTGAAACCCATTTCCCCCTTCTTTTGTAAAGCCTTTGTAGTTGTACTGCTCCACCCCTACAGAAACGATTAAGGAGATGAAAAAATGGTGAGCGTAGCATGTATCTATATTTTTAAAGGAGTAAAAGCACCCCTTCTATGGCAGAATATTAATAAATAAAGGAGTAAAAGCACCAGTCATCTTTCCCGGTTGCAGTGACAACTAACAAACGAGTAGAAGTTAGCAGAGTAGAAAAAACTAACCGTGACAGAACAAAGAAGCTGGGGCATTTCGAGAATCAGACTCGGGACCTCTCGCACCTAAAGCGAGAATCATACCACTAGAACAAATGCTATTATAATACTAACATTAGCTCCCAATTCAGGTTTCGTTCTAGTAATAGGCGAACTCTTCCACAGCCAATATCAGAAACATATGCTACCTGCATATGTTCAGCATAGGGACGACATAATGGCAGAAAAAAAAATAGACATTTTTTTGACCTTCTGAGAAAAGTACAACATCAGAAAGAACAAGGAGGGACGAAGAGAATAAACAGAGGCACAACGGTAGAGAGAATCCCAAAATGACAGGAAGATCCAACTAAATACTAAGCTAAAGAAGCTACTGGCTAAGTTCCACAGCACCTAACTTAGGTTAAACCAACATAAACAAAATGGTAAACCCTCCTCTCAGTCGGACTGCTCACACAAGACAGTTATCCAAACTTCGTGTCTTCGTCTATCATCGTTCAACTGCGTGCTGCAACCTCAGATGCCGGAGAACAAAAACAAGTTCAGCATATTCACCAACCCAAATTCATTCCAGAAGAATAACTTGACTGGGAATAGACGAAGGATCGAGCTCCCAATATCCACTCAGGACGTCTCTGTGATAGTATGCTAGGCATTGATGAGAGAATCGGCTGATCTCAGCAAGAGGTATCTCCACCATATGGCCACTTCTCCGACTCTTGGGGCCTCTGTAGAACGTCTCGAACCCAGCAAACTTCTTCAATGCAGTCAAAGTCACAACTTTTACAGCACTATCATTACTTTCAACCACCTCCACAATCCTGAATTCTCCATTACCCCGATCAGACTCTGAGTTGTCGTATATTGCCCATATCTCGTCCTTTCTAGGGTATATCTGGTACTTGTTCTTCTCAATTGATTCAACATGCACCGGATGAGAAAACTGGCCAAGAGGAACCACCACAGTTTTTCCTTCTCTATACGTTCCACAACTACTAGATTGATTCTTGATAATTGAGGAAGACAAGGGCTCGAGTAAAGCCACATGCAATCTAAAAGAGGGGGAAGATTCAATTTTTTTCACTAGAGCATAATTCTTCGGCATTGTATCTTCATCACTTCGAACAGCCCACACCTGACCGCTTTTGAACTTATCTTCAGACCTTTCAGCCTTGAAATTATGCTTTGCTACTTCGATCTTCCGCTTGGATGAGGATGATGCAGGGGTTGTTTCTGCAATACTTTCTGAATCATCCGCTCGAATGCCTGATGAAGTATTCATATCGAGATCTTCTACACTAACAGATGGGTTTGTATTTCTTCCACCACCACTGACATTTGCCTTGCTCGAGACCTTGGAAGATCTTCTGCCTTGCATTGGTACATGTCCTCTGAGTTCAATATTATTATACTTCACCTGAGGAATGAACTTCTCCGCAGCCTGAAATGAAGTACTTGGCCTCTGGGGTTGGGCAATACATACATCTCTTTCGATTCCAAAGTGACTGGCAGCAGGAGTTCTAAACCGTATACCATCTGGCAGTTTTGCAGCTAACCCACAAACTAGGGTACGTCTATGAGGATCAATCTCACTCATATTTGGTAAGCATGTCTTCAGAGAGGATCTAGTGGGTTCCATTTTATAGTGTGAATAAGATCTAGTTGCTCCCTTACTAGAATGTACCTCATCTGCCTTCGTATTGAAGCTATAAAGACTGCTAGGCAAGGCAGCCGTATCAAATTCAAACGACCCAGGAGGGACACCTTTTGCTTCTTTGCCAGTCATCATGCGTGAGGGAATGCGATGCGAAAATCTGTGCAATTCAGAGGGATTTATGCAAACTGAGATGACCTTATGAATGTGAACTCTCTGGAAGATGCTAACAAAGCCTTCCACTTTAACGAGCCAAGCAACCCCAATGCCAGCTTCCTCGCTAAAATCTGAGACAATCTCGACAAAGTCAAAGCTGTCTGGCCAATTATGCTTTTCTGGTTTGGAGCCGAGTTTCATATCCCAATCCTTAAAGAGCGCCCATGTCTCGCCCTTCTTAGGGTAGATTAAGAAACTGTCCTTGTCTTTTCCTCTTGTGCAATGAATTTGATGTGAAAACATCTGACGGTGTTTGATTACAGTAGTGTCACCCTTACCAAACATACCACAAGAAACTGGAAAACCCCTTTCATTCCAATCTTTCTCTTCTTTAGTACCTGGACAAGCCTCCAGCCAAGTAATCAGCACCTTAAAACCTGGTAAGGAAATTTTCTTGACCTGAGCATAGGACCGGGGCATGGAATCAGTTTCATCATACAAAGCCCACATTTGATTAACATCAAAACAATTCTCAGACTTGTCCTTGTCGAAATCACTGAACTGTACATCAGGACAGGCAATTTCTTCTCCAGATTCAGGTCCATTACCATTATCTAGATCATTTGACTCTTGCTTCTCAGAGACATGAGCTTCGTCTTCTTTTGCCTGAATACTTTGACTTCTACTCGTCTTTTTTAATAATAACTTCGCTTCAAGAATACGCCTAGCTTTTTTATCTGCTTCTTCCTTACTCCCATCAGCCGCGGTAGGAGCTGAACCAGATGAATGCTCACTGTTCAGTTCCCCACCACTATTACTTGGTTTCTTCATTTCCTTTTCAGAAAAGCCAGACAGTCTTTTCTCCCTTGACCTTTTTGATGGTGCAGCAACAAAATCATCATCACCACCTGAATTCTCTTTACAAGGACTTGGCCGCTTTTGTGCTGAAGCCCCTGCATGCTTTCCAGCAGCCCACTTGCGAACAGCACATCGTTTGCCAGTTCTTCCATTAGAAACATTTGTTTTTGCCTCTCCCATTTTAGAATCCCCACGAATAGCTGCAGCTTTTCTTCCAGTAGGTCTTAACTCAACACCGGCAAAGGTGTAGCTGCCACCACCATTACTTTGTGGACCAACATTACCATGTCCATGAACATTACTGAATCTGTGCGACTGACCGGCAGAATTAGAATAAGAGGATCCAGGTGGTTGCCCGCCTACGTTGATCACATCACGTGCAACGAAGGTCTGATTGCAATTTTGACAACGCAGCATCCGATTCCTAAAGTGTGCATAATACTGAAACTTTACCTTACAAGATGTGCAACAGGTCCAAAACGTTTGTTGTGGTGGCTGTGGATAAGATTGTGATCCTACATGTTGTGGTTGAGCCGGTTGATGAGTAGAACCACTAGGTGGATTCTTGTTCATATGATTTGCTGCTGCTACTTTGGGAGGGGCTGGTCTTACCACTCTGCATTTTGAATCGAAAATAGAACGGCTTATTGAGTCAGTAAGCACCCTATTTGCTTCACCAATGAGCTTGAAAGCAGCCTCTGCACCAGGACACTTGTTCCTGTCCGGATGAAGTGAAAATGCAAGCTTTTTGTATTGCTTCCTAATGATAGCATCGTCTGAGAAGTGTTCGATCTGGAGAATCGCATACCAATCGATGTCAACACCGTTTAGTTTGTTAGCAGCAGAAAGGTGGACATCACAAACCACTAACAATTGGGACAGGCTTTCAATCTCTGGATAGAGTTGCTGAGCTTTTAGTGCCAGCCTTCGTCCCCCAGTGTAATCACCGGCCTGCATTTTCTTCTCGGCAAGTTCCCTTGCTCTTACTGCCTCTTCTTTGTTGCATTCCATGGTTCAACACTAAACCCCTCAGCTAGTCCGAACTAGGTTCCCAAGTGATAGTGCGCAGCTCACAAGTTCTATTGGTCCCGTCACCTCAGTAGCTGCACTGACATTAAAAGAGTCCACAGCACAACAGCAGAAGACAGGGAAAATTTAGGCACAAACTGGATAACCACAATTCTCATCAACATATCAGGAAATGCAAAATCAACATACCAGTTCAAGAGAGACCATCAAAATGAAGCCGGTAAGCAGAGATCACAAAGATGGAGTCAAAGAGAGCCTTGCTGATCCACAACCAGAAGATGCAGTAAGATGAAAACCCCAGTCGACCTGAAACTAACATGAACATGAGAAAACACCATAAGAATTAAACTTTCAAGCCAAAAACCAAATAAATGAAAAGGAAACTGGCAGGAACATTCGCAAAAGAAAACCCAACCGAGCAGGAAACAGAAACGTAGACCAACAGAAACCCACCCAAGCAAGAGCGGAAATTGAGAAATCGCAAAGCAAAATCACACAGCGAGTCTAGTATTCGTAAAACAGTAAACCTTCCGTAAACCAAAAACCCTAAGCAGACGAATCGAGCATTTTCCTCCAACTGCCAGTACCACTGGCTGAAGCAGACGGGGGACCCTGAAACTCGTCGTTAATAGTGAAAACTGAAGAATCGTTCTCATGCAAATCAATCAATACACTGGATGGAAAAGATCGAGGACCAACCTTACTCGAACATCTACCGGAGAAGGTAAATCGTGTTGGCAACCGAAGGACTTTGGTAAAAAGAGAGAAGCCGAAATTCACCGCCGGGCAACAAGAAGGGGAGAAATGATTATGAAGGACCAGAAACCCTGGCGTAATCCCCCAAAAAAAAAACAAAAACAAAAATTGCCAGGTTTCCGGTAACGGGAAGAATATTTCGAAGCTCCGAACGAGTAGCAACAGTGGAGCTTTGGAGCTTCTTAGAGCGGGAATGGCGACATGGAGGGACACAAACAGCGGGAAGGAGGTGGAAAGAGAGGTGAAAGGGAAAATTGGGGAGGCAACGAGACACATAAGGAATAGGGATGGACAATGGGTTGGGTTGGGTTGGCTCGGGTCAGCTTTTGTCAAATCCAAACTCAAACTCAGTGTTTATTTGTAAAAAAAATTGTGGTAAAGCTCATTAGTTTTGGAAAACTCAAATTCAACCTAATTCACGCGGTATTCGCGGGTTCATGGGTATCATGAGTTTTGTGGTAAAAAATTTACAATAACAAGTTCCTATCAAGATAAAAGACAAATATCAATACACCTATACAAATTATCCATACATAAAATACCAGTCTAGAAAATTCAAACAAATCACAAATTATCCATACAAATTGTTCAGCACCAATCTAGAAAATTCAAGCAAATCACAATTCTTTGTTAAAAAAAAACAGAATTACACTAAATAAAAGCACACAATTTTTTGTTTTTCGTTCATACCCTTTTTGTTTGCGAGAGAGCAGCAAATCAACAAACATAGTGTGTTCAACTTCAATTATTAATTTATCCGTCCCACTTCTTTTGGAAAATAGGGAACAAAACCGTGAGTGCCGTGACTCATGCGAGTTAAATTAGGGGAAATTAGAATTAGGGTAGGGTTTGGGGAGAGTAGGGCGGCGAAATAAGTGTGGGCATGTATCCATAAGTCGGGTAAATCTAAACACAAACCCAATTCGGTGAATAGTGTAATGGGTTTAAACCCGAACCCCGCCAAAACCCGTCAACACGGGTTTTACCCGCGTTGACCGGGTTGGGTCGAGTAGAGTACCCGTGGATTCGGGTTTTGTTGTCATCCTAGAGGCACACTTGCGTGCAATAACAAAAACAAAAGTATAAAAAATCAAGATTTTAGAGGATATATTAATTTATTTTATTTATGAATGTCGGTTGGTTGAACCTGGTATAATTGACATCGGTTAACATATTGATTGGAATATCACTGGTATGATTGATTTTCGATCTTTAAATAAAATGATGTATTTTAATAAATTTAATTAACAAACAAAAAATTGATTTGTGATTTATCTCATAGAAAGTTAAATGTTTGACGTTATATGTTCGATTCAAGTATAAACGTTTTGGTGTCGACGTTAAATGTTGTATTTTAATGTGTATTTGTTATTTTGTTTGAAATGTTGTTTTTGTATTTAAGTATTAATGTAGATTGTAAGTAGAATGTCTTCAAATATATTCTATATATGCTTAAATTCATTTGATGTTAATTAGTTTTCACATATTTTGTTAAACCGATCTAAATTGGTTGTACTTTAATCGAACCATATCACTTGTTAAACCAACACAACCACATAAACTAGCATGGCAACCTTGAAATTGATGCATCAACTTTTTTGTTAATAGTATTTTATATTATTTTATATTAAAAAATAAAAATATATTATTCTATTTTTTATAAACCTATTCTTATACTATTAAAATGTAGCATACTTACTTTTTTTTTTTTTTGAAAATTTCGTTAGTTGACTTTTAAAGAAATAGAAAAAGAAGCGGTCAAGGTAAAAGCAAATATGGTTTGGCATCATATTACTTTCCCTAAAAAAGAAGGGGGTCTGGGGTTCAGGGATCTATCAAGCTGGAACCAGACTTGTATGGGCAGACACATTTGACTGATTCTCTTGCAAGAAGGATCCATCTGGGTAGCCTGGATTCATAGATTCCAGCTTAAAGGCAGGAATTTTTGGACCTACACATGTTCTTCTGGTTCATGGAACTGGAAGAAGATTCTAAAACTCAGGCAAAGAGTTGGTCACTTCATCTCTTTTAGGAGAGAAGAAATCTTGTTGGATGGCTCTCATATGCCTATCTTCTCTATCAAGAGGGTCTGGAACCTCCTTAGACCTTTCAGAAGCACTGTAAATTGGTGGAAGATTCTTTGGAAAGGCAGGGGTATACCAAGAAATCGGATTCTAACATGGTTGGTAATGAGAGATAGTATAAACACTAAGGTGAAAATGCAAAAATGGGGTGTCACAGGAGACTTGAATTGTGTTTTATGTGAGGATGGAGTTGAAGATAGGGACCATCTCTTTGTGCATTGTCCTATATCTCGACAGATCCATATCTTACTGTTTGGCAGGAAGCTCTACATTCCTCCTATGCAGAACTGGAGGATGAGGTAGGATGGGCTGCTTTGAAGCTTAGTGGTGTATCAGAAGAAGCAGAAGCGGGGAGGATCATATGGCAGAGCTTGGTGAGTAATGTCTGGTGGGAAAGATGTAGAAGAATGTATGATGGGCAGGTGACCTCCTCAACTGTGTTACTGAGGATGATTAAGTCTGAAGTGGAATGTTTCTTGGGTAGACAGAGAGTTACCCAATTTTGGGAGTGATTTTGATTGTTTGTCTGTCTCAGAGGTATAGGAATTTTGATTGTTGTCTTCTTTTCTTTGGTTATTACATCACCTAGCTAACATGGTAGTTGTTAGCAATTTTCTTTTTGATGAAATGAAACCCATCGATTTATAAAATAAAATAAAAAAAAGAAATAGAAAAAGAACAAATTGCCCCTCACTTATTACATATATTTTTATTTATGAATCATGTGTATATTGATTTCATCAAAAGGAAGTGTACTATTGAGAGCATGTTAAACGAGTGGACTAAACAATTAGTAATAAAAAATCAAAGTCATCTTTGTACAGAGTTACTATAGTAGTGACTATATGAAAGAAGGGGGGAAAACTCCAATAGTCAAGAGCAAAATTTGGGACATCTTAAGTTGCCCAAAATTATGTCACTTCATCCTTTCCTACTACTATTTCAACCTTACTCCTAATACGAGCAAATGAGACTTCAAAAGTGTCAACCTCTCCTACAAACTTGTGAAGCATCTTTCTTTCCAAATAGTACTTAGTAAAGACCCGATAGAACCTCTCTGTTTTGGCAACCAGGGAATTCCCTTTATATATAATAAACTTAAATCATTTGATTAAATTAATTTTTCTTATTGAATTTTATTTTTCTATTAATTTTATTATTTTCTATGTTTCTTTATATACTCTTGCACTATTACAGTATTACACATTAACAAATATAACCCTTTACTTTTTTTCTTTTACAAACGTACCACTATAATACTAAAAGATAACAAAATGTAAAATTCCATACAATATTTTGTTAGTTGACCGTTAAAGGATTAAAAATTACCAAAGTTCTCCTGGTTTATTACAAAGGCTACATTTAGTGATAAAAATTATTTTATTTATTTTTCTTGCTTAATTTTTATCCTTTCTAGTAATTTTCTATGTTTTATTATTTCGGCTGAAAAGGAAAGTATTTAATAAGGGAGTGCCAGTTAGATCAATTCATGCCCATTTTAACGGTGTGTAAACAAAATTTTGGATGTCAGGGTATTTGCTACATTATATGATAAATGGCTATGTTTGTGCAAAAATATCATTGGAAGGGTATGTTTGTTAACTTGCAATAGCACAAAGTATAAAATGATAAGAAACTTTTTTTATGACCATATATTTATGCTCGACTCATTTACCGGTTGCATTTTATCAAATAAAATAAACAATAATGACAATTGAATTACTATTTATTGTTAGACATTAGAACTAGGCATCCAAAAAGGTTGCAAATCAAAAGATAAAAAAACCCACGTACATGGCCAACCACAACGGTTGACTAATAGTCAAAGTTTGATGTGCATTTTGTGTAGTAGTCTTATCAATATAGATAAAATCAATCAAGTAAAATATCTTAAAAATGTCTAGGATCGTATTCCAAAAGGCATTTTAATGCATAACTACTCACATCTAGCTTTCATATCTCAACTCACAAAAGCAATGAAAGATATATATGTATTTTATAGGGAAGGAAAAATAAAAGCAGACAAGTAAAGATACGTTATTGAGTAGAGATGATCACTAAATATAAACATGCATCTCAATTCTTAATCACATCATGCATCTCAATAATTCATATATTGAATAACCCTATCCCTTGTACTAA